TTTGTAGATAAAATTTTAGTGAGATAACAATAACTTTGTTAGAAATGCTTAAGGCTCCTTATTTAAGTATTTCAATCTCATAAATACTGTGGATGTATATTAACGATGTGCTCATCTATTTAGGACATACATTTAAAATACATTTTGATGATGTGTTAATTATCTGCCTCATGTATTGTACTTTTTCACATGAACATGCGAGAAAACAACTAAATAGAATGTACACTATTGAAAAAAAGACATATTTGACAAGGCTTTAAGACTGTCTTCAAAATATTATTTCTAGAGAATCTTGATTAGTATTCGAGAAGAACGCTTTTTAACATCGTGATCGGCTAATCGAGTTTTATAAACTGACTTAAATTTGATTGAGAATGGAGTCTCACGCTTGAGGCCATTTGCTTGCTAGTCATTGGTTGTTGCTCGTGATTATATCATTTTGTTTTCAATAAGTTTTAATCTATATTATATTTCTTGATATATATTGGTTCATGTTTATTAACAGTTATAGAGGCTTTAGTTTATAAACGAAATTATTTCTTTTCATTGTGACCATACGAAAAATTTTCTCATGTTTATATACCAGCTAAATAAATGAAAGAGAATAGAAAAAAAAACGGAAGCAAAATGAACAATGGATAATAGTAACTTAAGAGTAAAATACAATAATACATCGATGTATTTATTATTATAATTCGTCTTCAACAAAATCTAACGAACGAAAAATTTTACTTGCATGAATGTAAAGAAATTTTAAGAAACAAAATTTGTCTTGTCAATTGAAATCGACACACGCTCACACACAGAGTTTATTTTTTCTCGAAAAAAAAAAGAAAGAAGAAAATAATCATAGTTTTGTATTAGTCTTTATAATTGATGATAAATATGTCCATTTAATTGATGATTTATATTAGAAGAATTATATGCTATTGAATGTTGTTGACGATGACCATATATGAAATCATGATGATAAGATGATGGTATTGGAAAATGATGATTATTTTCCATATATGTTTGAGATGGTGAAGAATATGGTTGTTGATGATAAATTGATGTTGGTTGTTGTTGTTGCTGTTGTTGTTGTTGTTGTTGTTGTTGTTGTTGTTGTTGTTGTTGATTATATTTCATAGATGTTGGATATCCAGTTCGATAATATGAAGAAAGTGATGGTTGTTGTTGTGGCGGCAGTGGTGGTTGTTGATAATAAATATTTTGTTTTCTTGATAAATTATAGTGAAGATGATGATTATTATTTGAATTCGTTAATGGATATCCATGATGTGTTGTATTAACATTAACTTGAAAATTAGCCACAACAGGTACATTTACTGTCATATGTTGAGATGGTGTTTGTTGTTGTGATGGTGGATAATAATGAGAATTATAAGATGATGATGATGATGATGATGATGGATAAAGTTGTCCATCATAATCACAACATGAACAATTAATATTATCACAACTTGATGCTGTGATTGTTGGTGGTGGTGTTATCATCGTTGATGATTGTTGTTGTTGTTGCTGTTGTTGTTGTTGTTGTGGATTTGGCCAATCATCAATAGGAATTGTTGATGTTTGTTCAATTTTATTTAACTTAGGTGAAGTTGAGCATGCTTGAATTTGTTGATCAGATAATGAATCAAGTTTATCAATTGAATTTGTCTAAATGAAATTGTGTTCTTTTTTTTTTGTTTTAAACAAGAAAAATTTACTTTTTCCAAAATTTTCGATGATTCAATATCTTGTTGATCATATAACCATTGTTCATTTTTAATTGAACTACATGAATGTGATGTACATTTATTTTCTTTTATTTTTCCTTTACGTTTTGGTCGTATTAAACGTTCCATTGTTTTTGGACTTGAAATATCTGTTTCATCCATACTTGTATCATCATCATTCATTTCATTAGCTTCAAATTCTTCAGCTAATTTTGGATCTTGTAACATCAATTGTCTTTTATATTTCATTCGACTAATAAATAATAATAAAAAAAAATATTCAATAAATAGAAAAAAACTACTGGAAAAACAAAAAAATAAATTTACCGATTTTGAAACCAAACCTATTAAAATAAAATTAAAAAAAAAAACTATTAGAAATTTCATTCTTTTTCTTTCTTGATAAATTCTCTCTACCTTGACTTGTCGTTCGGTAAGTAAAAGTGTTGACGCTATTTCAACACGTCTTGGTCGACATAAATATTTTGAATAATGAAATTCTTTTTCTAATTCTAATAATTGTTTATTTGTATATGCTGTTCGAATACGTTTAGGTGCATGTGGATTATCTATTAAAACAGAAAAAAAAACTTTTATTGACACATTCGAACAGCCGGACAAAATCAATCAATCGACATGAAGATGTCTATATATGTAGTTTATGGTCAAAAGTAAACACAACTGTTGGTCTCGTATATATATATATTCGAACTACTACTACTACTCATAGGCTTTTGTTTGAAGGGTGTCGACAGGCGGAAGAGAATATATGTATATGTATATACCGTACAATAAATGACAAGATATTGCGATGGTTTGATTGAAGAAAAAAAGGTCAACAAAAAAAGAAGACAGAAGTGTGAGATGATTTTAACAAATGGATAATTTGCTAATCGGTTTTTTTAGTGTATCATTGGAAGATTCAATACAAAGAATGGATATAATAAGTTATTTTCTAATCAGTTGATGTATTGTAATTCGAGTTTCTTTTTCTTTTTTTTTTATAGTGCTTTTATCTATGATTGAGAATCGTTTTTCCGTATCAATGAACATATGGAATTCAATTTAGTTAATAAGAAATTTCTTTTTTTTTTTTTGTTACCTGATCGTTTATTTTTTCGTGGTTTAGATTTTGTTGAAACTGTTGCTTTGCTTTTTTGTTGTTCAGGATAAATATATGGTTGTTGTTGAAAATCATCTTCGTTGGATTGAGTAAAATATTCATCATCATCATATTTTGATGTCGAAACAATTGATTGAGTAGTAGTGGTCATATCTTTTTTTTTTTTTATTCTAAATTATAATCGATACACTACTCGATCACACGACTGATATTTTGTTGAAAGATGACGGAAACGTTTCTTTTACTCTCTCTCTCTCTTTCCGGGCTTTTTTTTCTTGTCTGTCTATCTTTCTCGTTTGATCTTTCAATAGATTCAACATGGGATGCCTGTCATCACTCGCTTGCCGCCTTCGTATGAGGAAATAGATACAGAGAAAAAAAAAAAGGAAAATGATATTCGCTTTGCTGAATGGTTGGAAGAAGAATATCGTTCTTTTCTGATTCGTCTAAATAATTCTTCTTTCTTTTTTTTTTTTCTTCTTCTCTTAGTAGTTTTATATCATTAAACAATAACAACACTAGAAAAAGTAGACGAAGAAGAAAAAGAAACACAGAAGAAAACAAAATTCAATAACAAAAGTATCATTTATTGTTCTAGTTTACACTTGACTGGTGATTTGAATCTTTTTGTTTCTTCGTCTTATACAATGTCGTTCGCTGTACTCAATCAATCTGACTCTTCAAGTCATTAGGCATCTCAAGGGAGAAAATGAGTGTATATACGCGTGCTAATGTAATCATAGAAGAGTTGATACCGACACATATGTACGTTTATTGATTTCAACTTGACGGGTTTACGACATTCATTGATCGGGGATGTACAAACGCAACGTTTGAAGTCATTCCCTATTCGGCTATATCTTCTTTTTTTTTTTTTTTTATTCATCATGAGTAAAACAAGAAGGAAAAAAAGTGACAAGTAGCAGAGAGACTGATTGATCCGAAAGATTTAATGATTGAAAAAGAAAATCATAAAAATTAAAAAACAAATGTGTGCTAACCTCTTGTCACGCTATTTATATCATCAAGAAGTGAGAATTCTTTGTTTATATCAACAAATAATTTTTCAATGAATAAGAATACGTTTAAATATCACTACCAATCACAAACACAATAATTAGATTCTTATTTAAATTCTGTATGTTTCAATGATGATAAAGGTAACAAAACTTGTTTGCTTTTTTTCGGTTGATAATGGTACAAAATTATAAAGTGAACTAAGTATTTCTACATCGATATAGAATAATTTTCTATTTATTGTAAGATATAGACTTTTGGCAAAAGACAAACGATTGCTTCCGTTTAAATCTGACATTGATTCTATCAGTGTTTTATCCAATGTGAGAATCATGTCCATTCAGAGATTAGGTTGACCCTTCGGAGGTTTCCGGTTATTGTCTCATGCAGTATGTGTTTGCACTTCCAAAAATAGATTTTCGCCCTTCAGTTAAAAACAATCTGGATAAAACACTGATATCTATGTGTCCAAGAGTATTATATTTATTTTTGTTCTAATAAAATCATTTCTGGTTCTTAAAAGTCATTATTTATACGGCATTAAAGTATGAGCTTATAAAAACTAATATTCTAATCGTACAATCAAAATACTTTCTAGTAACTCGATATATTTCTGATTTGAGAAGAATCAGAGACTAGTTTGAGCGAGTTCGATTGCGCCTGCTTTTCGAACTGTTTTTCACTTGTACTCAACAGATAATACCTAAAATTATTCGATATGACCTTTAATTAGACTGACAAAAAACATCTTCTCATTGTGATCGTGTTTTTTTTTACCAAATTCTTAGATTCATCACCTTGGAAAAGTAACAGAGAACTAGAATGTTTTTCATTGCAATATTCTGACACAACTCGTCCGTGTTGTTAATTATTAGTACAGAAAACTATTAATTCCATTTGTTGGCAGTCACCAAAGAGAAATAAAGATCATGGCTAGAACAGATGATAAAATACTTAGGATAAAAGAACAAGCTTGTTCTTTGAATAAGAACATTTATATATACATATATATTTCTTTCTAATAGCAATTTATTAACTTTGGTCATTGAGTTCAGAGTTTAGACAAAAGTAAATCAAAAAAACATTTATTATTACTATTACAAAAAACAAAACAAAACAAAAAAAAAAAAAAGAAATATTCAATAATTGCTAATATCATGAATAGCTGTTGAATGTAATCGAATTGGTAATTTAATATGTTTTTGTCGTGAACAATGATCACAATTGATATTCATACTGATATTCATTTGTGATAAATTAAATTCATCTTCCGGTTGAATATTTATTGAACTGTAGCTAGCATATGAATAAGAATTATCATCTTGATTTTTGATTTTACTAAGATATTCAATTTTATACGATGGATGATAAAGTATGTCAGATAATTGAATATGGTTTATGAAGGTTGACGACTAAAAATGTATAAAAATAATTTTAAAATGTTTATTTTCTGATGAAACTAATAAAAAGAAGCACGTACATGAATATGAAACTGTTGTTGTTGTTGAATGATAACAGTTGATGATTTGATATTTTTAGAAGAAAATCTACGACATAGTTGTGCAACAAATTTATTAAATGATGAAGAATAATGTTTCTTATGTGATCGATCCATATTTCATACAAACAAAAATGTAAATTTTCTATTTATATCAAATATCTAATTTTAATTACAGAATAGATTATCTTAATATTAATTGATGATCAATCAAAAACTTTTGAAAGAAAATAATAATCTTATTTGAAAATTATAGAATTTAACTAATTAAGTAAACATTTATTCTTTTTTTCTTCTTAAATAAAGTTTTCATCATTATTATTATTATTATTGAATAAAATATTTCCACCGGAATGTTTGTATTATATGTTTGTATACATTTGGTTGGATACGAGAAAGAATCGAGAGAAAGAAAAAACAGACAATATATATATATATTTGTTGCTGGCATTCATCAATCAGAAAAAGAAAGGAAAGGCGTGAAAATAACATGACGAATGAGAAGATTGACATGAGCAAGATATATATATATATATATATACGGAGAATTTATCAAAGTTAGGCTATGTAAAAAATGTCATTTAATTTACATTGATTAGAAAGAGTTATTTTTACGACCTACGATAGAATAAGACATTGTCATAATATATAAAGCAAAAGAAACTAATGATATACACCAAGCATAAGTTATGCATGATTAAAAAGCATACAATGATCAATTTAGAGTGGGATAACGGGAGTGTTCATCCGTCCCTTCCGATTTATTTTTCTATATTTTTTGGTAAATAAATGTCCAAAAAATGAAATGATATAATCTCTAATGGACTTCGAAATACGATTTGTGATCATGATCGCTTGTTCTGAATCTTAGATCGATCATTGGAGACAGATATAATATTAAAAAAGTGATGAAATGAATTACTATAAAAATTTAGAAAGAGATTCTATTATCATTCAGTTACTTTCATGTCAAGCATTTATTTGATCGTCTGAAGAGTAGAACCCGTCGGATTGTTCCCAAAGACGGTCGAGTCCGAGTATGCAAACTTAAGACTCGATCGGCTGTACTTAAGAGAGTGAGCGAATCGAAGGATAAAAAAAAATAAGAAAATTATTTCGCTTGAACAAAGAATTCGTTGACTGAGATTGCTGCCTGATCAAAATGAAATAGAATCTTCGATGATCGTTTTTACTTGAAATTTTTATATTTCGTTATTTCATTGTTACGGATTTTTCATAATAAATTATAAAGTACAAACACATATTTGATATTATACGCTGAAGACTGTTCAATTTTTTTTATTTCGAGAATCGTTTTATTCGAGTTTGTGTTCTTATACTACAGAAAATTGATTGTTTTGAAAATTGAGAGAAAAATCTGTAACAAGAATATTTTTCGAGTTAAAAGAAAAATGACAAGAGTGTTGAAATTAATTGATTCAGAGTTAACAATATTTAGATAGGATTTAACCGATTTTATTTTCTGTATTGACAATAATAACTAAAATTGTTCAAATTCCATCAAGATTTTTTTTTTCAAACCCCATTTTATAGGTAAAAAAAGCTATGTATTAGCAAAAATTTCTTTTGCTAAACACTATTCTTTTAAAATATGAAATCATTTTGAAAATTTCTCTTATGTACTCATATTTATAAGATGTTTATTTCAGCACTGACTTGAATCAAGATATCTTCAAGTTGAACGTGTTCATATGTAAAAATATATTTATTTGAAGATATAACTTATTTTAAACAGAATTCTTAGACTTGAAAAATAATATCACTAGTGATTTTATATATAACTCATACGACGACGTAATATCTTTGCAGGTCATATTGACATAAACTAAACCATAGCAAGTGTAAATATATTGTTTATACTAAAAACCTTTGTTTCGATATTTTTCTTTATATCATCACAGTGAATATCGTAATAGATTGATATCATGAATATTTTCAATTTAGTCAATGAAACTTTCCTTCAAAATTCGAACAATTAGAATTTTGTAAAATGCTTGTATTGCTATGTTGTGGTTCATAGGATATTCCATAAGTTTTTAATTATGACAAAAATTAATTTACATACAGACAGGGAATGTATTTATACTAGATTTAAGTATTCGTACGGACATATCACATAAGACAATATTTGATTATGCGAAATCGATCAAAGAGATGTTTTTTTTTCATTTGAATATTGTGAACGCAGCTGACATAAAACGTATAGTATGTACCGATCAGTAGTTCTTGTAAACGTTTATTTATCACTTGCCGTAAGACAGACGATAACTCAACAATGTTCAGATTATATGGTTCAAAATGAACTTAAGCACACGCTGTGTGCAACAAAAAACGAATTACTTCATAGAACGCATCAGTTTTATGTTGGAAACATTGTTCATGTCTTTCCCTCATTTGAAACTGTTTATTGTGTATATAATGTGATTGTTCATTGAAGCTATGATTACTAAATAAATATCTATCGAAAATATTGATAAAAAAAAAAAAGAACGAAGAAGATAAAGTTACAAATAAAATTAGACAACGAATAGTGAATATCCAAAATCATTGGTCTGAGAATATTTGATAGTTAGCCAATTTTTTTGTATCATCAACAGATCATTTGAATTAGTCAAATATACTAGTTTTCTTGATCATTAAAAAAAAAATCTTGTTCAGTGATTGCTACAAGATTTTAACATGACATTCATATTTAAAAAAAAACAAATGTCCTTCAATTTTATATTATGTGACACATCGATAAAAATACTCCAACCTTAAGTTAGTCTATTAAATGAAAAATCATAGACAAATGATTATATCCTTTGTTCGTTTATATATTAGAATGAAACAAAACTTTTAGCTTATATACACAATAAAAATCGACTAATAGAATGGTCGATTAGGTGGATAGGGTGAAGGTCGATATTGTGGTTGAGAAGGCATAAATTGTTGAGATGGTGGTAGTCCATAATTTGATGGACGATATCCAATATCAAATAATGGTGGTGGTGCCATTGTTGGAACATTCAATGGTGGAAAATTCATTAATGGAGGAGGAATTTGAGATGGTTGTTGTGGTTGTTGCTGTGAATCGACAACAAGACCAGAAAATGCAGTCGATGGTGAATGTGTAGGAGGAAGTAATTGATGTGGAGAATCAAGACGTGTTTGTCCTATTTGTGATGTTTGTTCATGACGTCGTTTTATATGTGCTTGAAGATCACGTTGTGATGTATAACCACGAAGACAACCATCTTGTGAATGTGGATGTGAACCTTGTAAACATAGAATAAGATTTTTTGCTTCGATTTTCTCTACATCAGTAATAGCATCATTACATCTTTTTTTTACACAAAAAAAAAAAAAACAAATCTTATTTTATAAGAAAACAAGAATAAAATTCTTTACTTTGGACAATTACGACGATTGCTTTTACATTCATTAGCACATTGTAAACAAAAAGCTGCATGTTTACAAGGCATCTAAAAGTGCAGAACAATAAAAATCTTTTTATTTTTCAAATTCTAAATATCTTACTAATCGTCCAACAAGTAATACAGGATAACGACAATTAAGACAACAAAATGCTTTTGTTTCTTTTATTCTTTTTCCAACAAGATTCATCTTTATAAAATAAAGAAGAAAATATATTAATATATTTAAACGGATCCTACCGGATTGGGTGACCTGTCCCGAACCAGGATGCCACATATGCAATTTTCTACAGCAAACTGTAGTGTATCAGATGATATATAAGAAATTCAGTTTTATGACATTTCTAATGTACTAAAGATCGATATACTGGTTATAATAGTGAGGCAATATGATTAGGTATTCGCAGGTATTATAATTCATGGGATATTCCAAAACAAACTTATGGAAATTTTTTTTTAAACTCAATTTGATACACTCATAGATGCTGTTCAATTTTTCAACAATCAATAGTTTTCGTCGTTGTTTTTTTCCATACTTAAATTTATACACTTCACCCATTAAATCTTTCAGAAACAACAGGAATTCATTATCAAGTTGAAATATTATTCAATACCATAGTCTATTTTCATATATGAAAGTGCCGATATGAATAATAAAACTTGAGTTCTTATATATTATTTGATACATTATAATTTGTTCTAGAAAAGCACATATATGATATTTTGATTTAGGAATAGGTCACTAAATCCGGTGGAATCATTTTAAAATTACTCGATAATCCCATCGCATTCCAGTTGTTTGTTTTACTGATGGACTTCCTCTTGAACTTCGATCACTTATACTTGCATCATCATCTTCATCCATACTCTCATTACCATCTTCATGATCGTTATCTAAACAAAAACAAAAAAATCTGTTTTTTTTTTGTTTTTAATAAAATAAGTTTTTCTATTCCATACCACTGCTTGATGATGATGATTCACGATCACCACTTCTTGAACGAGCACTTCTTCGAGATTTTTGTCGATTATTATCACCACGAGAAATTCGTTCATTTGAATGAGATCTTCGTTTTGATTTTTGAGATTGTTGTTGTTGTTGTTGTTGTTGTGATACTAAAGTATTTGTTTCCACAGGACCCATTTTTGTAAAGAAAAATGACAACAAGCAATTAAATCATATATATGTTTCTTTTCATTGGTTTTTATTCTTACGATAGAAAAAAAACGACGAATTACTGACCTCTATTTAAACTCTGTTCTATTCGTGCGAATGATCTCTTCTGTTTAATATATACGTTAACAATCATTTGAAGAAAAAAAAAAAAAAAGAAAACATCTTTTAATAATCGATATGCTTCATCAGCAGACTTTTGAAAGTACTGGCGATGATGAAATGTTATTCGATGATACAACACCGGTAACATTTGGTGAAAATAAAAAATCAAATTGCAAGATGAATAAAAATGATCTATCAACTCAACATTCCAATGGTTTGACATACATCTTTAAATTTAAAAAATTGTTTTTTTCTTTTTCTTTCATTATTTTAGATGATAAATTATCAACTTTATTTAATACAACAGGTCGAGAAAAAAATTCAACAGGTCCATTAAAACAATGGCTTTTTGAACATCAACATAATCCATGTATGTAATTATCTTTTTTTTTTTTTATGTCGATGATTATTTAGACTATGTGTATATTTCTAGATCCAAATGAAATTGATAAACAAGAATTAATGGAAAAAACAAAAATGTCTTTATCACAAATAACTGTTTGGTTTACAAATGCTCGAGTTAAAATGCGAAAAGAAAATAAATTACCATTAAATATGTATGCAAAAAAGAAAAAGAAAAAACAACATGATGATTCATTTCATCTTGATGATACTTTATCACCACCACATTCAACACAGAATTTATCAATTAATGGTAAAAAGAAAACAAAATATTTTTGTATTATAATGAAATCGATGAAATAGTATTTTCATATTCTATATATAGTTTGATAGGGAACACTTCGATTATAATCATATAACTCTCTAATAAATTCATCTCTTTTCATTTATCTTTAACTAATGGTAGTTAATGTTCGATTCCTATGCTCTTCGTTGAAATTCACTAATTAGCATTTCGATGGTTGAAGTTATACACGATTTTTTTTTGAGACGATATTTGCAGGTGTAGATGTATAGGTAATCTATCAATCTATTCACAATCTTAAATTTCATCATAAAGAAAAGGCAAATGTTAATCTCATTCATTTGGAACTTGTTATCAAGTATGAAGAAAAATAATAAAAACAAAGTATTAATCTTTATTTTTGTTTTTTCATGTTATATTCTTGTATGCTATTGCTCATATTTCTTTCAATAAAGTAAATATATAAGATGATCATTCAATTAATAAAATATCTTATTAATATCTCTTTAGAAATTCCTTAGGGACAAAGTCGATATTGGTTTTTTTTTATCGGTTGTGTTAGCCTTGACGAATCAAATTTTTACTAATTAACAAAAGTCCCAGTTGGAAGTAATCTACTTGGAAATATTTGAGAATAGATGGAACTGAGAGATAACATATCATCGTTGATTATGAATACATATGTGAGCCGATCGATTGAGCGACCGTCATGATAACACAAAAAAAAGTAAAAATTTCCGACGTCCGAAATCATTTTTTGGAGATATTACGAGTCTGATTTCTTGTCAAGAAGTTTTTGTCTTTGCTTCATTTGAATATTTTTTGAAATGAAGAAAAATTTGAATTGTCAACGACGATCAATACATTGGACTTACACATCTAATCATAAAGAAAGACCTTATCCAATTAGAATTCTCTACGAATAGATTAGTTTTGTTTTTTAGGATAAACCTATCGCATACTTCTATATGAAAGATATTTGTTAGAATTTGATTTACATCAATTACATTTTGTAAAAAAAAAATTCTAGTTCCATGTTGCCTATATTGACTTTTTTGAATTCTTAATGAGTGATCGGATGATTTCACTCAATTTTTATTTATTCTTTCCTTTTCTCAATAGAATTATCAACATCATTTGATAATGAATATGCAAGTGATGCAAATCATGATGATACATTTACTTCTAATAATGTAATGATATGTCCATCAAGTGAAAAACATATTGTTATGGCATATTCTTGTTTGAAAATTGAACAACTTGTATGTCAAAAAAAGAAAAACTAAAAAATTTTATTCAATATTTTAATTATTTTAGACTGAAATTCAACGTTTAGCATCATTATTTCCAAATCAAATAAAATTATCAAATTGTGTTAATGAATATACAACACATTTAATTATTGGAAATGAAGAAAAACCATTATTATGTCCATTAACAATAAAAGTATTTCAAGCAATAGCTCGTCATTTATTTGTTTTAACATATCGATGGATTATTGAATGTTTAAAACAAAATCTTATAATTGATGAAGTTTCATTTGAAATACGTGGTGATATTCCATTTGGAGAATATCATGATGGAATGCGTAATAGTCGATTATCAAAACATATAAATTTATTTCAAAATTGTCAATTTTTTATACTATGTGATGGATGTCAAGAAAAAATGGTAAGTGAAAATAATGAGATATTTGTACTTTAATGTTAGAATATTACTCGTGAGAGACAGTGACGTATCTAGGATTTTTCAGTATGTTGAATCTCGATTTCTGAGCATGGGATCCAGACAAAACTCATGGAGGATGGTGTTGGATGTAAATGATGGAATTTTATTAAAAAAAAATTTGCACTCGGAAAATTGGCATTTTCCTGATTCCCCCCCCTCTAAAATTTTTTGCTCTTAGGAGTATCATGGTTTTTAGAATTTCATAGGAAGCTACACCGAATTTCATCGATAGATTTCAAATCTCATCAAAAAATATGCAATCGTTTCACAGTTATGAGATTTTGAAATTATGCAAAAATTGTTTTCACATGTAGCAAAAATTCAAAACGTCATAACTGTGAAACGATTGCATATTTTTAGACGAACTTTGAAATCTGTCGATGAAATTCGGTGTAGCTTCCTATGAAATTCTAACAACCATGATACTCCTAAGAGCAAAAAATTTTAGAGGGGGGAATCAGGAAAATGCTAATTTTTTTCGCAAACTCCGAGTGCAAATTTTTTTTTAATAAAATTCCATCATTTAGATCCAACACCATCCTCCATGAGTTTTATCTGGATCCCATGCTCAGAAATCGAGATTCAACATACTGAAAAATCCTGGATATATCACTGTCGTGAGATTTCATTCATTGATATGTATAATATGTTTGCAATTCATAGTCACCGTTTTAACTCGTTTATGATAACACTCTATTAAAACAAGGATATTCAATTTACTAAATTTGAGTTGATATACTACGATTTTATTTAGTCTTAAATAACTTTCTTTGAGATTCCACTAGACATGAAGAATAGGACCAACTTAATTTGATCTTAGCCTGTATGGGAACTGGAACAAAAGTATTTATGTATTCAGTCTTCATGAACAGATAAATAGGTAAAAAAATAAAAAAATATTCTTGTTTGATATTTTTCTAATCGCAATGGTTGCTAACAAATATCTCATAAATGTAATAAAGAAATTCTTCGAATGAAATACTTTATAGTAATATATCATCTGGATTACTCAATACGACTAACTCGAACTTTATCATTGCATAATCAATGTTTGTTTATTATTAACAAAAATTGCTTATTACATAAAATAAAATATATTTAACTAATCAGAATTTTTTTTTTGTTATTATTGAAAAATATTTTCTCTAATATATAGTTTTTTTGTTTTTGTTTTTTTAAGTCTAAGACTGAACTTGCTTCATTAATTACTTTATGTCATGGTACAATTCTTAATACTTTTCCAATAACAACTTCAAATAATACTTCCATTTTAACAATTGTTTTATGTGATAAAATACTTCCATTTAATTCTATAAATCAACAACAATTATATGAAACATCTCGTTCAAATGGTGTTAATTATATTAGTCCTGAATGGGTATTAGAATCAATTGTTCAATTTTCTTTACAATCATTTGATACTTATGAAGAAAAATTTTAAAAACAAAAGACATTAACAAAAAAAAATAAAATAAAATATCTTGTTAAGTCAGATATTTCTTGTATTTAACAGTGAGAACATTGTCAGATACATTTACTCTTCTCTCTTGTTCATTTTTGTTTTATATATATAGAAAGAGAATAAAAAAAAAAGAAACAACAACAACAGCTTTTCTTATATGTATATACATTACATTAAAAAAGAAAATCTCATAATATATTTCAAATAAATGATTATTGTACTTAAACGTTTTTTTTTTCAGAAATATGAAACGTCGAAAAAATACTGAGATAATTAAACAAAGCGATGATAATAAGAAAAAGTAAAAAACAAGAAAATGATATTTCGAATGAATTTTTTTTTGAATACATGTTTTTTTTCATCTTAGATTATCATTAAGTAAATTTGAAGATTTATCAAATGAATTAATTTATGAATTGTTTGATTATTTTGATTATTTTTTTATTTATGAAATTTTCAGTAAATTTAATTTACGTTTTCAATTATTATTTATTAATTCATCTTTACCAATAAAAATAAATTTATCATTAATATCAAAATCAATTTTTCAAACTTATTATAAATCTATAATTGATATTAATATCAAACGTATTATTTCATTAAATACAACAAAATATTTTCTTAATTATTTTTCAATAAATTTATTTTTATCTTTACAATCTTTAATTATTTATGAAATAGAATCTAATAAAATTTCTTTACTTATTAATTATTTACATTCTTTATCAAATTTTTCTTCTCTTTCAATTTATTCATCAGATTATTTTCGAAATGAAAATTCAATTTATCTTTCAATATTTAGTTTATTAAAATTAAAATTTTGTAAATTAACATGTCCATCAGGTGGAGAACGTATACCATTACCATTGGCTATAAATTCATGTCAAATACTTGAACATTTAATTCTTAATGCACATGTTCGTCTTGATCAACTTATTTCAATACTTTCTTATGTACCAAAACTTACTTATCTATCATGTGAATATCTTTATGGTTCCGAATGTATAGAAATTGATCGAATAAGAACTC